AAAAAAATATTTTTAATCCAAACCCCAAGGAACATGACACCATGTGCCAACCTGAGCATTAGCGAATCATGCAATGGGGGGCAGTGAATGCTGGCTTTGCCGATCAGAAAGGCCACATGTAAACACCCGATTGTCCCCAGGAAGCTGGGTGGGATTCGGGAGGCAGGGCAGCTGGCCAGTGTGGAGTCAGAGCCCCCAGGAGCCCAGGTCCTTTTGTCACACTCCCTTGTGACTTGGTTCAGCAGGCTTTCTCCGCTGGTCTGGACTAAATGAGAGTGCGGTGCCTCCCCACCCCGTTTCACCGGCTCCCTCCAGTCTGAGGGTGTCGAGGAACCCAGCCACTGGCCACTTCTCTGGCCATGATGTTGGACTCTGGTCTCCCCAGGGCCCATTGGTCATTGCTGAGTGAGCCGTGGGATCCCCCCTGGAGCTCCCTAATGGCCTCTCCCAGTCTCCCTTTATACCCCACCATCTTGCACCTGTTTCTCAGAGGGCAGTCGAACCTTCGTCCTGAGCTTCCAGCACCTGATGCCTACTCCCTGAGGTGCCCTTCCAGCCCCAAACCTCACAGCTGCCCTGGGCCTCCTGCCTCCTGCTCCCCAGTCCCCACCCACAGGTAGAATCTGGTAACGGACACAGGCAGATGACACTGGTCCTAAAGCAGCCAGGGACCCCAGTCTCATGCCAGAAACCCACCCCTCGAGTAAAGAGGGCAAGACAGAGGGTACAGGAGAAACCTGGTGAAAATGCCAAACCTGCCCAGACCTGAGGGCAGGGAGGGGAGGGGGGCAGCGTGCGCGGAAAGCTCTAATTGCCAGCGACCTGTGCGCAGAGACCTGCTCCACAGGGTTTCTGGGGCTGGGATATTTTGGAAGCAGATGGACAGGCCTCTCTTCTGAGACACCCCTGGGTGGGTTCAAGCCACCAGCCTTTTGGCTAGTGGTGTGCTTAACCCTTTGTGCCACCCAGGAACTCCTCTCTCCTAATCTAATCTAATCTAATTGTGTGAGAGAGAGAGAGAGAGAGAGAGAGAGAGAGAATGAGAGAGAGGAAATATATACAGAGAGAAGCTGAGAGAGAGAGAAGATAGAGAGAAATTGAGAGAGAAGAGAAGATAGAGATTGAGAGAGGAGGCAGAGTGGTTGAGAGAGATGGGGGGGTGGGGATATGCTGGACATCGGGGAGGGGTGGGGGGAGTAGCCTTATGCCAGGTCTTCTTCTCTTCAATAGGGAAGCTTCTCCTTGCCACTGTGGAGTGTCTGGGAAGGGATGAGGGTCCCATAGGCCGGCACTCTCTGCAGACACCCTCAGAACGACTGGGGGTCTCAGTACACCACCCTAGACCTGCCCACCTCCCAAGGGGGCATCGCCAGGTAGTCCTGCTGCTTCATGGCTTTGAAGAGCTGAACGGCTGGCACCTGAGGCAACGCTGGGCCTGGGGGCTTCTTGGCCTGGGCCCCCCCTAGGTCCAGGGCCCCTATGTCAGGGCAGAGCTTGCCCCGGGGTGAGAGCGGGACAGGCCCCACACCAGGAAGGAAGCAGTAATCCCCAACTTGCTGCAGAACAAGGAGACCCTCGGGGTGGGGGGACCCAGGACTTTCCTGCGCTTGGGGCTCCCCTGGGCTCAGGACTGGGCTGTGAGGTACAGGGCAGGTAGGACTGTCAAGAGAGGGTGTGGGAAGCTGGCCTGTGACTGGAGGGAGCGCCACATAGCTCTCAAATCTTGGCTGCAGGGGGTCTGGAGTATCAGGGGGCCCACTGGATGGCCCAGAACAGGGCTTGTGGGGCTGGCGGGAGGAGAGGCCAAGAGGGGCCCCTGGGGATGGGGCAAATACCAGGTCTGCAGTGCTGACATAGCCAGAGGCCACAGCCCCACCCTCAGGGTCCCCTGCCCCGGAGGCCAGAGCCACCAGACTATCCTTTGGGTCCTGGACACCCCCTAGGGGCTCAGGTGGAGGACAGGCAGGGCCTTCTCCTGACTTGGGGGAGGTGTTCCCCTCCATCCCTGGGCTGGGCCCGCACTGCACACCCATGGTCTGGTTCTGCCCCACGGCCTGAGCTAGGGGGACGAGCTGCGATTGCCCCCCAGGGGGCAGACACAGGTACTCCAGGGACCCTGGAAGTGGTGGGTGCCCGCTCTCCTCTGTGTGAGGGGTTGGCAGCTGACCCCAGAGGTCAGGCAGGGAGTGGCTCTGGGGTGACCTGATATAGGGACCATTGAAGTGGAAGCCAGAAGCCTGGCTGTCAGGGCTACCCAAGGGGGCAGACAGGTCATCGGGTGGGGGGCTGGAGAGCTGCTCCAAGGGTTCCGCGGTGGCCGCAGTCACATCCGAGTCAGACGGTGAGTCGCCGGTGGTGGACTTGGGATTCTCCGTGATGAGAGGTGACACCTGGCTGTCCCCACCATCCACTGAGCACACCCTGTCAGGAGAACAGAGACAGATTCTGGAACCACCCTGACAGAGCCCATGGGAGCCCCAGGGCAAATGGAGCATGGGAGGGCCCCCCAAGGAAAGAGGAGGCGGGAGCGAATAGCTCTCTGGGCTCAGTCTCCCCCTGGGGTGGCTGACTGTGGTTTGCTTTGAGTGGTTTGCTTCTGGACACCTCACCCAATCCTGGCTCAGGTGGTGCCAATCTGGGTACCACTCAGACCCTCCCTCCTCTACTCATCCCCCCACCCACTGCCTTCCTGGAGCCAGAACAGTGGGGCGTTAGCTGTATAGGCCTGCAGGCCTCTGCTGTGGACTGCACCAGGCAATAGGTCGTGAAAGAACAGCTGCTCCAGCAGCCTGCATCTGATCAAGTCAGGCCCTCTGCTAACTAAGTGTGTGTCAGAAAGTTCTTCCCGATGTCTAACTGGAGTGCCTCCTATTTTAGATCACTGCCCAGGGAGCCAGAACACAGCCCGGTTGTGCACAACAGGACCAGCCTCTCTCTTCCCAGAGGTGGGGGGCACCTGGGAGCTGGCACTCACCTCTCCAGGTCGGGGACCAGGCTGCTCTCTGACTCCTTGTGTGAGAGGCTCCGACTGCTGAAGTCCGGCAGGCTATACGGGAACTGGAGTCCTGCGGCCCCGTTCTGCGGGGAATGAAGGGGCAGGCGGGCCTGTGGGTGTGAGGGCACTCAGGAAGGTGGAATGATGGGTGGCAGGGAGAGGAGGGCAGATGGAGGGGGTGACCAGGAGGCTTCAGGGAGCCTCAGGGGCAGGGGAGGGCCTCAGCTGTCTCAGGAACTGCCTGGTCTTCAGAAACCAGGAGCAGGCAGCCAGGGAGGGGCTTTGCCTGCCCCAGGGCCCAGACACAAACAGGACAAATCCTGATCTCACAAATCTCACATCTGGGGTGTCCCTGCCCCACATTCACACCACAAGACCCCCATCACCAGCATAGCAGCCTTGCCTGGGCTGCCATCAGCCCTGGTCATCTCAGCCTGCTCTCCTGCCCATCCCCTCTCCCTCACCCCCAGGGCTCAGGAAGGTGCCGTGCCCACCGAGAGGCCATGCCGGGCTCAACCCTGGTCAGTGCCCAAGGAGAGCAGTCCTGCCTCCTGTGACTGTAGGCTGCAGCTCAAAGCCCCCAGCAAGGAGGGGTGGGGCAGACAGGGGCATCATCCTGGCCCCCGCCTACCTGGAACAGGTGGCTCTTGCTGGGGTTGGGGATTCTGTCCTTCCACTTCTGGTTCAGCCTGGAAAGACACCAGGGAGGTGGCAGCTGCTCCCACATTCAGGAGCAGAGGGGAAACTGAGGCCCGGGCAGAGGCGGGGCATGTTCCCAGATTCCTGGGTCCCAGTCCAGCCCACCTGCACCACAGATGTCCCCTACCTGTATCCGTAGACGCCGCAGAAGCGCAGGGCGGGGAGCAAGGCCAGGGTGACCAGGGCCAGGATGAGCGCCAGGACCCACACAGGCAGCGCTTCCGGGCACAGAGGGGGAGGAGTGTTAGTATTGGGTGGGAAATGCTGGGAGGCCAGGGGGCTGGGATGCTGACCCCCACAATGCTCTAAGTGCTGGGGGGACAAGGCAGTGGGAACCTTGGGGGGAAGGGGAACAGTGTGAGAGGGAAGGGGCTTCAGGGAGTAGGAGGGTTTGGAAGGCAGGCTGGGGGAAGAGGCATACTCAGAGGCCCAACCAGTCCTACCTGGCTGGCCCGCCCCACGCATGTTGGGGAGGCTGGGAGACCTACCCCACTCCGTGTCCCAGGTGCACTCCTCACTCCACTCGCTCCAGAACCCCTTGTAGCTTTCCGAATTAACCCTGACCCTCACCCGGGCCCAGTACTTGGTGGAGGGTGCCAAGGGTGGTAGGGGCATGTTGTCGGCGTTCTTTAGGGCTTCTGTCTTGCTCTCCTGTGGGTGGGTCAGGCGGAGACCCTTGGGTGAGCATGGGCGCAGCCACCACCAGCACACCAGCCAGCCCAACTTGCCAAACTCAGTCTCCCTTCAGCAGCATCTTCTCTGCCTGGGGAAGCCTCACTGCAGGGCCTTCGGAGGAGAGGGATGGAGCAGCAATGACAGGACTCTGATCCCCAGGCAGGTGTTCTGGAGCCCGGGGGCCCTCCTGACCTCAGTTTCCCCCAAATCTGCCTAAGCCTGGGATCAACTCTGGGGACTCTGGGGCACCCCAGGCGCTGAGGGTGGCCCAGGGTCAGGCAGAGACTGAGCCCTGGGCCAGAGCCCTGCTCCCAAGAAGCCATCTGCACATGGGGTCCTGGAGACCTGCACCTGGATGAGGTCCCCAGGGAGTTACAGGTTTAGAAAACCCACCACCTGGGGGGGCCTCTCAGCCCCTCCCCACCATGAGGGCCTGGCCCTTGCCATGAAGGCGCAGCCATGGGTCACGTGACCTCTCTCAGCCGAAGGTCCTTCACCGAGAGGTGGAAGGAGAGCTGCTGACCATACCGGGTCATGATCCCAGCACAGGGCTGTAATCACCACTTCTCAACCTTGGAGCGGGGGACCAGGGGGCCCTGCTCTCCCGGGTGTCTCCCCCTCAGTCCTCCCTGCAGCCAGCCCCAACCTTACCTCCCAGGAGTCAGTGTCCTTCCGGTACTGGACTTCAAAGTCATAGGGTAGGTGGTCATAGTACTGCTTCTGCGATTTCCAGAGCAGGGTGTAGCCGTTGTTGTCCTTGGTCACGTTGAGGGTTGGGGGGTTTATCTGGACTGGAGGGGGGAGACCCTCAGGGTGTGGTCTCATTAACAT